GGTAACGTCACCCCTAAATCCACATTTGGCGTCAGGATCTGCCGTAAGCAACCCTGGTAGGATGGCACAACCACAAGGAGGATTAGATATGTTCCTCCAAAAATGCCAACCTTAAATACAATTTCTCTTATGTCTATGAGGCAAAAAATGGATGAGAGTAACCACGAGATAGTGAATATGTTAACATTAATATATGTATTGTGTTTCATCCGTTAATTTAGAACACAACCTAGATTTACCAGCAGTTGGCCCACCAGATGGATAAAATTGCTGTTTTTTTGCGCTTCCACTGCCAGTTGTGCCATTACCTAATAATCAAATGCATGTCAAACAACCCGTATTGAGGGTTGTCGAAGGAAACCAAGGCCAAAATGGCCCAGAAGTAGTTATGGTACAAAGATACCAGGATGTCGACTAAGTACTTAGAAATTTCCGACAAAACAACTTTGGGAGGGGTAAGGGGAATACTATAACTAACATGGGTGACCATATTTTGGCTCAAAATGGCCTTACCATTGGCCTTCATAGGCCCAATTATGTATATCCTTTATCAAAATATGTGCGGCAGAAGAAACTTCCTAAGGGATGGAAGGTCCCTAAATTCACCAAATTTGCTAGTGAGACCAATGAGTCAACAGTCGAACATGTTGCTAGGTGTCAGACTAAGACATGTGATATAGCCAATAACAAAAATTTGAATATTAAATATTTTCCTAATTCTTTGACAAAGAATGCTTTTACGTGGTTCACCACATTTCCTTCACATTCCATATTCAATTGGAACTGACTAAAAATGGCGTTCCATGAGCAGTTTTATATGGGCCAATCTAAGATTAGCCTAAAGGAATTAGCCAGTGTAAGGCGAAAGGTGGATAAAACCATAGATGATTGCCTAAATAGGTTTAGGATAATGAAATCAATGTGCATAACTCAGGTGCCTGAGCATGAGTTAGTCGAATTGGTTGTAAGGGGTCTTGATTATTCCATAAGGAAAAAGCTAGACACCCGATACTTAAGAGATATGACTCAACTTGCAGATAGAGTTCGACAGGTCGAACGTCTGAAGCATGAAAAATCCAGGTCGAGTAAGTATCTTAAAAAAAGAGAAAGTGGTCTATGCCGAAGTAGACGAAATAGAAAACTTGTCTAACATATATTCTGAATATGTTGAGGAACAAAAAAATAGCGGGCTTGGAGATCGAATGTCAAGAAATGATGGTTGTTAAGAAATTATGATTGTTAAGAAATTATGGTTATCGAAGCCACAACATTTGTAGTTCTTCAAACAAATAAAACTATCCAGAATTTCCAAGAAATAACTTCATAAAGCCACATGCTCGATTGTATATACAATGATGAGCCTTTGGGGTTTGAAAAGGCCCATTAGCCCCGACCACAAAGACGCAAGCTCAAGATCCTTTGGAAGAGGTAGATTTAGGAGATGGGACGACTAAGAAACAAACTTACATAAGGGCAAAGCTCGACCCTAACCTGAACATATAAGTGATCAAAGTTTTGAAGGAGTTTAAAGACTGTTTTGCTTGGGATTATGACAAGATGCCTCGACTTAGTCGAGATTTGACGAAGTTGAAACTACCAATTAAGCCTGACAAGAGGCATGTGAACCAAACCCTAAGGATATTTGCGCTATAAGTCATGTCAAAGATCAAGGTAGAAATCGAGAAACCGCTAAAAACCAAATTTATAAGACTTGCCAGATGGTTCAAATGGCTAGAGAATATTGTTCCAATAATTAAAAATAGTGGCACCATTAGATTTTGTATCGACTTTAGAGATATAAATGTTGCCACTCCAAAAGACGAATACCTAATTCGAGTAGAAGAAATGCTACTCAATTCAGCAGCTGGTTTTGAGTATTTGATTCTTTTAGATGGTTATTATGGATATAATCAAATCTTTATTGCTGACGAAGATATGTCCAAAACAGAATTTTGTTGCCCTGGGGCCTTAGGCAGGTATGATTGAGTGGTGATGCCCTTTTGTCTGAAAAATGCTGGCGTAACCTATTAGAGGATATTGAACTCTATGTGTTGTGACTTTATTGAAACATTTATGAAGGTTTACATATATGGCATAGTCATCAAATCCTCCTAAAAAAGTGGTTATTTGGATCACCTTTGACAGTCCTTTGAAAGGATGAGGAAACATGGACTTAATATTAATTTGTTAAAATGTGCTTTTTATGTCCATGCAAGCAATTTTCTAGGCTTCGTGGTCCATAAGAAAGGGATTAAAATAAATTTGAACAAGATGAAGGCTATATTCAACACATAGTCTCTGACAAATAAAAAACAACTTCAGTCTCTATTTGGGAAAAAAAAACTTTCTGAGAAGATTTATATTGAATCTAAGTGGCAAGACGAAGGTTTTCTCGCCATTGTTGCATCTGAAGAACGAGGAGGAAGGTTTTAGATAAGAACCGGAACATCAAAAGTAATTTAATGACATTAAGACATATTTGTCGAAGCCTCATGTATTGTTACCTCCCATGAGAAACAGAAGTATAAAATTGTACATTTGTGAAATAGATGTGACAATACACAATATGTTAGCCTAGAGAGATGAGGATGACTTTGAAAGGGCCATTTATCATCTTAGTCGACTGTTGAACGACGCAAAAACTAGGTATATATTAATAGAGAAGTTGTGCCTTAACTTGTATTTCTCTTGTATGAAACTGAAGTATTATATTAAATCAACGTATGTGTTTGTTTATTCACATTTTGACATTATCAAACATATGCCGTCAAAACCAATAATGCATAATAGAATTGGAAAATGGGTTTTGGGCTTAATTGAGTATTCTCTGACGTATGCGCCATTAAAGGCCATTAAAGCTTAGCTTGTGACTGATTTTATAGTAGATCACACAATAACGCAAGTAGCGCAAAAATATGTCGAGCAATCGACATGGAAGTTGTACTTCAACGATTCTAATTACGTTAAAAGAACCGATGTTGGAATTCTAATTATTTCCCCCAAGGAATTCCAACTAAGAATAAATACAAAATGAATGGTTGTTGCTCTAATAACGAGGTTGAATACAAAACTTTAATAATAGGCCTTACGATCTTGTTAGACCCAGGGGGAAATATGAGTCGAGATTAAAAGGGACTCATAGTTAGTAGTAAAACAGTTGAAAAAAGAATACAAGTGCATTAATGAGAATTTAGTAATGTATTTTGTCAAGGAGAACTCATTGATAAGAAGATTCGACATAGTCAATATTAAATATGTGCACGAGATTGAGAATCAAGAGGCCAATGACTTAGCCCAAATAGCTTCAGGCTATAGAGTCTCCAAAGAAAAATTAGAAGAGTTAATCAAAATCAAAGATAAACTGATTTCAACTAGTGTGCTACCCCCAGAGTTGTCAAAGTCAATACTGGTGAGAGTAGAAGAGTTAGGAGACTTAAAGCCTAATTTTTTTGAAATTTTTTCCATTGACAATCTGTCAAACGATGATTGGTGAAGACTAGTTATTGAGTTCATAAAAAACTCAATAAGAACAACAAATTGAAAGATCAAATACAGGCTTTAAGTTACGTCATTGTTGGAAACAAGTTGTTTAAAAAGACGCCAGAAGGCGTCTTACTTAAGTTCCTTAACGAAAGTGAAGCTTATTTGGCAATATTCAGTGCCCATAGTGGATTTTGTGGTGTTCATCAAGCAGAATACAAGATGAAGTGGTTGTTGTTTCAACAAGGTATATATTGGCCCACAATGTTGAAAGACTGTATAGAATATACCAAATGGTGTCAAGAATGTCAAAAACATGCAGTGATCCAACACGTCCATGCTAGTGAGTTACACTCAATCATTAAACCTTGGCTATTTAAAGACTGGGAATTAGACTTGATTGGTGAGGTAGTATCTACATCATCTCAAGGGCATAAGTATGTGTTAGTAGGCATCACCTATTTTACGAAATGGGTCGAAGCAGTTTCATCTCAAGGTTAACCAAAATAGTGTGATCAATTTCATTCAAAGTCACATCATAAGTAAGTTTGGGATTCCTGAGACTATAACCACATACCAAGGTTCAGTGTTCACTTACCCAAAGATGGTTGAGTTTGCTTCAAAATCAGGGATCAAACTTCTAACCTCTACCACTTATTACGCCCAAGCAAATGGTCAAATCGACGCTACAAAAAAGATCATAATTGGTTTGGTCAAAAAACATGTAGGCCAAAGCAAATTCAACAACGTGTTCAAGAAGAGGATCAAAGTCTAAGACATAATCAATAATGGAATTCGAAACCTCTAGCTTGTTGAGCTTCAGTAGAAATCACTGGACTTCAAAGAGAATAATTGGATTGTCCTTGATGGTTTCAATGAGGTCCATATCAACATGGTTGGTTGAAATAACTCAATAAAATTATCATTTATGGGAACTTCAGGTGAAGCAGGAGAGAAATCAGCAATATCTTCGTGGCTATTCACAATCCTCTTGAAGGCCTCGGATTTTCAGCCTGGTTAACCACTGGCCTTGAAGGACTAAGTTATACAGAGATGTTACTGAGGCTTCCAAGAGTTTGGATTGAGATCTATGAGTAAGAGAAAAATGAGTGTGCTCTGAAATGCCTTCATAAGAAGGAGACCCAACAAGTTCCTGAACTTTGTTGGGCACACCAACATATCATGTGAACTTTGACTCACTCCAACATAAGCCATTGAATTTCTTGGATTCATTTTCATAATTCATATTCCAAATACAACACTTTTGCATCTTACTCCTCACAACACTAACATCAACAAACAAACTTATTAACTACATTAACTTCATTAATCAATTTGCTTAATATAATAAAACACAAACTATAAACTAATTCAATCATGCGATGCATCCTTCACTTCACTTCACTTCATCCTTTTAAATGACCGTCTGCAACCGCAATTGTGACTGCAATATAGAGATTTCACAAGCCTCCATAATATCATCGTAATTCGTAACTCCACTCATTCGCGCACATTAGTCCTCAATTTCCTGCAATTTCAAGGATCGCGACTCAATCATAACTCTAACCGCAATTCAAAACCGTAATCATTTTCAAGACAAAGATTTCCTCCACCTATTAGGAGTTGTCCTACCTTTGACATTAACCAACCTAGTCTTCATATCAGAACTAGCAGCAGGCGTCTGTCTTCCAAACTCAACCTGACCATCACCATCAACACCACCATCTCCTCTTCTTCCCTCCACAACACTCTCTCCTTTCACAAAACCACTCACACCAAACCTCTTACTCCATTTAAAAAACCCTTTCTTCTTCTCAACCATTCTTTCCATCTGAACTTGCATTGCATTGCACTGATTCTGCAGCCTATGAACATCTTCTCTCAGTTTCTTTATCTCAATATGTTGAGCATTCATTTCGCGCTTCGATAAACACCTAGCCGTGGGAACTGCTTCGAGTCCAAATCCATTTGTTGGACTTCTGGTTATACTCATTATGGATCCACTCCAATCAATGTTGTGACTGTTGTTGTGCCTGTTGAGCTTTGTTTGTTCTGAAAGAAGGACTTGAATTACTGCTCTCACCGGGAACCGTTCGTTTTGCGCTGCATGAAGTGATGCCTCTTGTGTTAGTTTCCTGCAATCTATTAGTCTGCATAGACCTTTCCTTTCTTGCTTTGATAAACTTGGATGTGCCTGTTACAAAAAAAAAACATCATTAGTATATTCTGATCGATCTCAAGCCCGCACGCCACTTTGGCTACGAGGTATTGTCCGTTTTGAGTGTTAGAAACTCTCACAGTTTTGTCCTTTGAAAAAGGCTTCTAGTTAGATTGAAGAGTATGAGGTTATATATATTACTAGCATGCAGACGGACACGAAACATTGCTACGAGGTATTGTCCATTTTGAGTGTTAGAAACTCTCACGGTTTTGTCCTTTAAAAAAGACGTCTCATTAGATTGAAGAGTGTGAGTGTTGTATATAATACTAGTGTGCAGACGGACACGAAACACTGCAATATAAATTGAAAGTTCAAAGATAAAGAAAACATACTTTTAGGTAAGTATCAATGGCTCTATACAAACCATCATCAGTATTTCTAGCATGACTTGGAAGAGCAGAAGCAAGAGTAACAAACTCATTCAAACTCAAATTAGCATCAACAGCAGCTTCAGCAAGATAAGAATCAACCAACTTAGCAACTTTAACCAAAGCAGCACCACTTTTAGCACCTTCATTATCCAAGCTAACAAACCTCTTAACAAGCCTAATCACAAGCTCAAAATCCAAAAGTGTTCCACAAGTGTGACTAAAAGAAGGTATAACAAGTTCTTTCAAACAAGCTTGATCTAACTGCCATGAAATTCTCTTCTCAAGCTCTTGTCTATAGCTTCCATCAACACCAACCATGTTAGCAGTTCTTAATAGCCTGAGCAAGAAGTTACATGGAATTGAATCTTTCTCTGGTGGTAGAACATTAACTAAGGTTTCTACAAAGAACCTTTTCTTCATCCATAAAGCTGTTACACTCTCGGGCGACGACGATGTATCTTCAAATTGTGTTAGACCCTTTTCAGCTAAGTCAGGCAGCCATTTGGAGGCATAGTGTGTGATAATGGAACCGATTAAATCGGCGCGAACACCTTTTGCTTTGATTCCAGATAGTGTTTTCACAAAGTAATCCATGTCTAGAATGCACGCGTCGTCGAACCAGCATTCTGAGGTGAAATTTGATGGTGATTTTGGTTGGAAATTGGATTGTTCTATGTAGGATTGGTTCTTCATTTCTGTTAGAAGCTCAAATAATGTAGTGGAACAACTAGTTTGTGTTGTAGTATCTGTCTTTGACATGTTTGCATTGTAAAGTATGCTACAAAAAGTTACATATTTATATCAGTTATTTACTATGCACCAGTGTAAAAAGTTTTTTCACATTCTCACAATTATATTTCACTATGGAGAGAGATATTTGATGATGTCCTTTAGAAAATGCTATAACAAAGTGACATCATGATGACGAAATATGAGTTAAAAAAATGTGGTTGGTACCGACTCATTTCTACAAAATCAGTTTGTAGCGTGAAAATTGTTTCCACTTATAAACACGTGTTTATGTGAGACTCTTTATATAAATGGTGAGTGGTCCGATATCAGAAATCTGATAGCAGGTGGTCCAATAGATCTTAAACGAGACTCTTAATACCGTTAAAAAATATAGCTGGGCTTAACTCAATTCTACAAAACCGGCCAGTAAGTACATAAGGTATATAATGTTTGATTGATGTGAGATATGTTGACAATTTTGATAGAAAGATGATGAAGACAGGAATGAAGAGGATGGATAAGGTATTTTGCTGAGAAAGGAATGAGACCACTAATAATAAGGCCATTTATTCTTTCTCTATGACAGAGAAGATATCATATTTTGTTGATATCTTTGTATGCAGGCACAAAATTAATTATTGCACTCTCAAAGTTGAAAGGAACATGAAACAGACACCTTTGTTGTTTGCCTATCTCATGCATGTGTTGAGTAAGAAATTTGGATTTTATTCTATTTATATTTGCAGGTTACTATAATAAGGAATCCAATAGGATAATAAGCAAAGGGACAGTGAAAATTTGTTTGATTTCTTTATAGGACAATGCTATATATATTAGTGAGATGGGGTATGTGAGTTTTGTTTGGGACTCTCATGATGATGGAAGCTACAACTTGGAAGGGTATTTTTGGTTATTATTTTTCACTGTATTCGATTCACTGAAACGTCTAATTTAATTTGGAGATAAGCTATGATATTAAGTGGTTTCAACTCCTTTTCAATCGCAGTTGTAAAGATCAAACTGTAATTCTTTTTATCAAATTCAGCGCGAATCATCACTAAACCAACTAACGATCAGTTAAAATATCTTCACATTTAATAATGAAAATTGAACCCTAAATTTTTTAAATGAGTTAATTTTTTATCAATCAAGTCAATATTCACAACATTTTTTTTTAATTTACTTTACATATTTTATGTTATCATTTTTAATTATATTTTGTAGTCTTATCACACAATTTTGCGCAACATTCTTATATTTATTATATCTAAAATCTGTTTAATAAAAATAATGGTTGATTAATAAGTTAGTTTATAATTTATAATTGGTGGCTAATGACTGATGATTGAAAGTTTGTAGTTTATAGCTTATGGTTGATTGATAATTGATAAGCTAATTGATTTTTTTTATTGAATACCGATTTAACTAACTTAAAAATGTAAAATGAAATAAAAGATATTTAATACATATTTATTTTATTTTAAATTAAAATAAATTATAAAAAATAAAAAATGGTTTTTATTAAAATAATAAAAATAAAAATGAAAGAAAAGATGATAAGTTATAAATTATAAGATAAAACGCTATTTGAAATAGCGTCTAAAAAATAAATTTTAATATAAAAGAATCGTTACTAAACATATCTAAATTATCATATAAGCTTATAAATTATAAATTCAGAAATGTGACTTCGTGTCAATTTTTTTATCGTCTAATGCACGGTTGATTATGTAAACTTTTTTTTTATATTACAATTGTATAAAAAAATCTACTTTATACACAAAAGTTTACTAGAACTTTTTTTTTTGTTTTTAAAGAAAAATCCAATAGATACACTACAAGAAACATTGCATTTTTCCAATTGATTTTCACGTCACTAACTCAAAAACCACTTCACTAACCAACTTTTGCGACGTGGGTAAAACACGTCGGAAATGCAATGGTGGGAACATGTTCCCACGTGAAAAACATGTCACAAAGTTGTGACATAGTTCCCACGTCGCAAATAACAAAATTAGGAGAAAATCTTCCCACGTGAAAACCAAGTCACTAATTAGTGACGTGATATTCATGTGGGAAACTACCTTTACCAATTTTGTCTGCACGCCTGCCTGACACCAATTAAATTTGGTTCTCATATGATTCCCACGTCACTAATTTGTGACTTGGTTTTCACGTGGGAACCCAATGGCTTTATACGTGAATTCTGGCACTAATTAAATTGGTTCCCATGTGATTTTCACGTCACTAATTAGTGACGTGATATAAATGCCACAACAAAAATATGTTTTATAACAGTGACATTGTTTGCACTTCACTATAAAATTTAATAATAAAAAAATAAAAATAAATATTAACTAAAAACAGCTATAAAATTAAAATAAATATTAAATATTAACTATAAAATTTAAAAAATTAAAATAATATACATTAAAATATATATAAATATTTAGTTACATGAAATTCACATCACAAATATAAATTTTTTTAATCTAATATGCATGTTAACATGACAAGCAACTGTCATATTCATTTTCGATAGAAGGTAAAAAAGTTGTTATCCATATTCATGGTCAATGAATGATATCACACCCACATGAATAACATGATTCAACCGATGAGACTCCTCTCATTTAGTTGTTAGACCATAATGAAGAAGAAAAATAGTGAAATATGCCTGAAACTATTCTTTAAATATTCACTCTCTTAGTTATGTAGAGACGTTCTCCATTTTCTAAAAAAATGAATTATACTTGAGTATGATTTTTGTATATACATATTTAATTAATGTCATAATTTCAAAAAGTATATGTATCTATATAATTGATTTAGTCTAAAACATATTAATAAACATTTTCACTTTTTATTTATAGAAATCGAGACCTCTTAGTTTCTTAAAAAATATTTCATTTCTATCTATTCTAAAAATATATATTTTTACTACAAATTATTTTTAATGTATAATATATATTCATTATTTTTAAATTATAATATATATTCATTATTTTTAAATTATAATATATTCATTAAAGTATATTATATATTCACTATAATTTTATAAAGTATAATATATATTCATTATTTTTAAAGTATAATATAAATTCACTAAAATAATATATTATACTAATAATAACATATTTAAAGTATAATATATATTTATTATTTTTAAAAATCTGTTTTTAATAATTGAATGTGTAAAAATAATGTATTAAATGTGTTGTTCTGTTTTTAACATATTTACTAAAATAAAATAATATATATTATACTAAATCTGTTTTTAATAATCTATTTTTAAAAATCTGTTTTTAAAAATCTGTTTTAAAAATCTATAATATATATAATTGATTTACTAAAAATATAAAATAAATGTGAAATAAAAATTAATTATTGAAAAAGAATTAATTGTATACAATTAATTTATTTTAAAAATTAATTATATACATTTAAAATAATTAATGGTATACATTTAAAAAATTATAGATTTTTTTCACATTTATTTTATATTACGTCCCGTGTTTGAATACATTTAAAAAATATACAAATTATTGTTAAGTAATATTTTAAAACTCTGACCGGTCACCAATCCCGTCAAGCCACTGAATTATTGATTGTACTAATGAGTTATTAGTAGAACCACATGGCTCATAACTCATAATTCAGTTTAAACAAATTAAAAACAAAAGGTATTAATGAAGAAAATATTCTTGACATATATTTTATAACTAATTTTTATAAAAAAAGTATATCTATACAATTATTTATGCAGTAAGATAAATGTGAAAAAAAATTAATTATTGAAAAAGACAATTAGATTTTATTCATCTAGTCTCACAATTTTAATTTTAATTCTTTTTATTTGTTTAATTAATTTATTTGTGGATTTTTATTTATTAATGTTGATGAAATTTTATTTTATTTAGGATCATATCAACTCAAAATTTTGTATATGAAATTCGAAACTAAAAAAAATAAATAAATAAAAGAGTTGAAGTTTTTTATAAACCATAAAAAGAGAATTTTAGATAAATTTATTAAAAATAAATCTAAACAATATATTTGAAAATTTACATAACTGTCATGTCCAATAAATAAGTTAAAAGTGTAGAAATTAACAAGTATAGATACGAATAAAAAAATAAAAATAAAAATTTATTAATATAAATTAAACACATAGACATAGTTAAATTTAAATAACAATGAAAATCCAAACTGTAACTTATTAGTAAAAGACAACTAAAAAGTAGCTTATCAATAAGAATTTTTAAATAGTGCTGATAGAATAATATTATCTTTCCATTAATTATATAATATTTAAAGTTGATAAATTTCTATTTAACAACAACAATATTTCATAAATATGAAATTGATTGATTTTATTATCAATTAATATAAATATTAAACAATTTGGTAACTTTAATTTAATAAATGATTTTGCATGTAAAAGACACCTTTGTCCATTTACTAAGGCTCTTAAAATTCTTGATATTTGTATGCAATACACAATGCAAGTAACACCGCAACAAAATGGTATATCTGAAGGGCAAAATCGTATCTAAATTGAAATGGTTAGGAGCACGATAAGTATTTCATCTCTATCCAAATTGTTGTGGATGTATGCCTTTAAAAAAACGTCTACATATTTTTTTAAAATAGAGTTCCTAGTAAGGGGGTTCAAAAGACTCTTTTGAATTATTGACCTAAAAGAACCTAATTTAAGACACCTTTATATTTGGGGTTGTCAAATAAAAATAAGGATATACAACTTGAAAAGAAATTGGAATGCATGAACACTAACTGTATATCTCACTAGTATTTAGAAAAGTACAAAGAATATAGATTTTAATGTCCTATCCATAATATGAGATTTGTTAAAATTGGGAATAGTTGATTCATTGAAAATGGTGAAAATAATGGGAGCAAAGATCCGAAAATGTAGATATTAAAGAAATTAGAGTACAAGATCATTTAACTAGTGCTTCTACTTCAACAATTGTTGTTCCTTGTGCTAAAAAGCATGACAATCAAGT